TCCGTTGGTTTTCTTTGTTTGGCTACGCGCCTGCATTTTTCGACGAAGGCGCCAGGATAGCCATTCATTGTGAAAAGTTTCCTTGAGATACTGGACCTCGGTCTTCTTGTCGGCTGGTTCGCTGCAGTGAGTTTCTACACGACGATAGAGCGTCCGCACGCAGCTACGTTTGCGCGAGACAGGATGGTTGCTGAGGTGACTCAGGATGCGAGAGGTATTCTGTCGCTTTCCTGTAAACTGTTGTTTTGAGTTCCCCACCGTCTTTTCTGCACACCAGCACGTCGAGGAACGGCAACTGACAATCTTTTTCTTCCTCCATCGTAAACTGGATGTCGGGGAAGATTGAGTTCACATTCTGTGAAATCCCCAATCTTGTCTGGACGAATGATGACAAACGTGTCATCAACATACCGAATCCACAATCGTGATCGATAATGTTCGAAAGCCAGTGCCTCCAGTCGTTGTAGTAAATCAGACCAGAAAATGGCGACCCCATTGGTGTACCTTTTACTTGTTCGTACACCGTTCCATTGAAGATGAAAAAGGTGCTCAAACAGTGTTTCAGGCGTCCAATGAGATGCCTTATTTTGAGCTTCGAGTCCGTCTCGTTGTTCTTCTCTTCTAACAGGGTTTGGATGGTTTCAACCGCAAGATGTTGCGGTATTGAGGTGAAAAGTGAAGTCACATCGAAAGATACCATCACTTCGTCAGGTGTAAGTTGAATACCTTGTAGCTTTTGTATGAATTGTTCAGCTGAGCTGACGGTCGTTGCTGACTTCTGTGGACCCTTTTACTCAGTGGCCAGTTGCTGCGTTCATTCTTGACATCAGTGCCGAAATTGTTGCGAAAGTTTTCCTGGCGCACTGGGTATCCCACTTTGGCGTTCTTGCGACTGTAACAACTGACCGCGGATCCCAATGCGAGTACGCGTTGTTCCGACGGTTAACATTCCTTCTTGTCACTGACAGGATTCGAACGACGGCAAACCATTCCCAGGCCAATAGCCTTGTAGAACGTTTCCATTTCGTATAAAACGAAAGGCAGGCATCCCAAGAAATGTAATTTCATGGAAA